ATTCTGAAAAAAATTAGGATTTAAAAGATGTTACTTATTTTGGGAGATCCTGGAAAAAATAGTAACTAAATTTAGCTTACTTATTAAAGCACTGACGCCTGGAATATTTAATACTCGAGGGTGAAGAAGCACTCGTGGGAACACGATGAAAAATCTAATCTCAGTGGATTTTACATCGGATTAATCTTAAACAGTCTAAGGACTCCGACTATTCCAGCCACTAAACCCCCTAATTCTATCCCAAATCTAGGTCATTCGCGTGTAGAACCTGAGGCAAGTTGTCGAGAAAATTTCTGCTCAACGTCGCCACTTGAACAACATTTGCCTCGCGTGAGCCTCCTCATCCCCGAAGGGCGGTCACTCCTTGCTTCAAATGAGAAATGATTAACCTCTCAACGACATGTGCCAATATGGGAAAGGGTCTCAGCATTAACATGTCTAAGAAATCGCCACGGGTAAAAGTCGTATTGTTTGTGTTTATTCACAGTGAAGTTTTCATTGTTTTTTATTATTGGTTAACGGAGATTGATATTTACTTTCGCTCTTTCTCTCAGATCTTCTTTCTCTTTCTTTTGCTTATCTTCTCTCTCTGTCTCTCTTCTGTTAATCTTGCTTCTTTCTCTTTCTCCTTCTCTTTGTCTTTCTCTCTCGCTCCCTCTTGCTTATCTTCTCCCCTTCCTTCCCTATCTCTCTCCCACTCTCCCTTTCTTTCTATTCCTCCTTCCCTCTCATTCTCATCCTCCTCTCCCCTCTTTCTTTATCTATCTTTCCCCTTGTCCCTATCTACCTCTCTCTGTTTTTTTCTTTTTCTTTTTTTTCTGAAGCGACTCTCGTAGAAGGCACAGTCACCATATCTACTATGAAATGCCCAGACAACGAGAATGCCAGACATACGCGTTAGTGGTACATTGAGCTGACTCTCGAGTTTCTAAGTCTAGGCAATATTCCTGAAATGCTGAAGCCATTCTGGGGAACTGTTCCCAGAGAGGGAGAAATTAACCATAATTATCCCATGCGAAGCTACATTATGTGAAAATTATACACTTTTTTACGACACACCACGTCATTCCTTTGGTAATAGAGAGAGAGAGAGAGAGAGAGAGAGAGAGAGAGAGAGAGAAGAGAGAGAAGAGAGAGAGAGAGAGCGATTGCATGAGATCAAACAAAAGATGAAAAAAGAAAGCGAAAAATGTTATTGCAGACAAAATGCAGTCGACCTGTTCACTGATTAAAGAAAAATGAAGAAATGCTGCAGTTGTTTCGATTTTTTTTCTTTTTTTCTCTCCTTTGATTGGCTTTGCTGTATTATCGTCGAAAACGAGATATTTTTTGTTTCTAATATTTATATGAAAGGTATGGAATAGATTGGATATAAAAATGTAAAAATTTATTTATAAATTTTTGGGGGTAATAATAGAGAAAAACAATCGACTGTGAGAAAGAAAGCGAAAATAGAATTGTACGAAGGAAAAAAGAGAAAGC